ACTTACATTTTTATACAATCGACATATACACAAGATTTGTCTTTGGTTATGTGCAATAAACAAAACTTTCACAATCACATTAAATTCTATTAAATATGCATAATATGAAGCTGATTTTAATTTTTTACCGAAATGATAAGCATGAAAAGTTCTATCAGCAACTCTAAAACGGTTATAAAACTGATAAAGATTTAGGTCAACATTTAAATCATTCAAATCCATATTCCGTAACTTATCTGATATATTTTGTGCTGCACCTAACACAAAAAGATTCAAAGAAAAACTATTTAAGTGGTCTTCCGTCTGAAATTTAATAAATTTTTCAGCCATTTGCCTTCCATGGCCTTTAGTTCCTGTAACAAACCTCTTTAGTTGGCGATTTACATTTTCAAACATCATAGCAGACGTTGCTGTAAGAGGTCCAAAATTTTTTATCTGGTCAGAGAGATGCGCTAATGCATCAAAAGTGAATGTGCGAATACCTTCACCGAAATAGGAGCATAATGCCTTTTGAAATAAATAAACTAGTTGCTGACAAGCATCAATATCATTTGATGAAACAATTTCATTGGATAATGTATAAATAGATGTTGAAAGCATTAAATAAAGAGAACAAATTTCAGCATTACCAAGTTTGTAAAACACAAATGGCCCATAATACAATAGAAAATACTTGTGCTCTTGAGCTTTCCACTTAACAAGTTCATTATTCAAATTTTTTGGCTTCCGTCGAAATAAATGTGGCAATTTTATGGAGTCTATTAGACTAAAAAGATCTAAAAGACTTTGATGAACATCTTTTTATATAAGAAAAAATCTTCTTAAATTTTTCTTAGTTTTTATTTTTTTATTTTGTCTATTTCAAAATTATCATTTTTTTATTTATCAAAATAATAAATATTTGTCAGGTGGACAAAAAAATTACTTTTGCTACTTGTTACAAAGATTTAGGTCAGCAGTTGCATGCCGGCGTGAAGCAAAAATAGGTTGGCTTTTGCGTTGACATTACCAACCTGAATTTTGCAGGATGTACATATAAATATATATATATATATATATATATATATATATATATATATATTTATATACACACGTAATATATATATATATATATATATATATATATATATATATATATATATAAAATATATATATATATATATATATATATATATATATATATATATATATATATATATATATATATATATATATATATATTATGTGTGTATATATATATATATATATATATATATATATATATATATATATACATATATATATATATATATATATTTACATACACACACACACACTCAAAAAAGTTCAAGTTCTTCATTTAAATTCAACATGATTAATGAATAATTATGCATTATCACATTATATATAAAAAAACAGAAAATAAAATAGTTACCTGAAGCTAATTGATTGTAAATGGTTTGAGATGGAACTAAACATATTGTGTGTGTGTTTATATATATATATATATATATATATATATATATATATATATATATATATATATATATATATATATAAATATATATATATATATATGTATATATATGTATATATATTTATATATATATATATTTAGTGCATATATATATATATATATATATATATATATATATATATATATATATATATATATATATATATATATATATATATATATATATATATTAATAAAAACTTGAGTAACTAGCATTATATAACTATATACAGTAGTAATTAATCAAAATATCATAAAATTAAATTATGGAAATTTTAAATTAATTTATATAATGGCATTTATAACAAAAATCTTTATGTTAAGCAAATAAAAATTATAATACAAAATATAACAATATTCAATAATTTTATAGTTTGTTTAACATGTTAAAAAGAAATGTTAAATCTTGTTAACAAGAGATAACAATAAAAATATATTTACCAGTAAAAAATGTTTATATATATTTTATGAGAGAGTGATTTTCAAAATTGATCAATTTTTAATGTCAAATGGTTTACTCCCTTTTGTCTGACTAAAACTTTTAGTCAAGCTTGAAGTGAGTGGTTTTTTGACATAAAAATTTGACTTTTTAAATAAAATTACAAATGAAATTTTAAGAAAATTAAAAATAAAAGTCTTTCTTTTTATTTAAAAAAAGTGACAAATCTTTATTAATAAAGATATCACTTACTCTTTTTAGTAAAAAGAAATAGTAAAAAGAAAGAGTGACAATATAATTGTTTATGATTTATGATTTTGTTTATTAAACAATACAAAATCATAAACAATGAAAATAAAAACATCCGAAATAAAAATAAAATATAATTTAAAAAACACATCACCATACATATCACTATGAATCAGAAAATGTTCGAATTGATACAACAGAAAATGCTCGAATTTATAAAGAGTTAAAATTAACATTCAAAACCATATTATAACACATTAACAAATATTCATCAAATTAACTGCAAACCACGCAATCATCACCAGATGTTCTTGAGCTTTTTCCTTATAGAATTACAAATATTAAACAGCTTTTTTAGATTCAATAGTAAATCTATTGAATCTAAAAAAGCTGTTTTATGGCTGACTTGTCTTCCGTGTGAATAAATAAAAGATGGCGTATAACAAAGACGATTTTTTATACTTGTTTTATTTTTGAAAACTTACTAGGAACTTACTAAGTAATTCGTTCAATCCTGATAAGTACTTAGTAGGATTAGCAGGAAATTCATAAACGTCATTTCACTAATGAGAAACTTAATAGGTTTAGCCGTATTAAGCGAAAACTTACCAGGATTAGCAGGAACTTAACAGGATTAGCAGGAACTTAACAGTATTAGCAGGAAGTTAAACATATTCCTAGTAGTATTAGCGGGTTTTTTTTTCTCGGGTTGTACTCAATATGACATCGTTAGTTAAAAATTGTATTAATATGTTCAAAAGTTGGTCATATCATTTGGATATTTGATTTATTTTAAAAAGTCAGAAAAGAAAACAAATTTACGTCAGCAAGTTGAAAGCATAAGTTGAACTCAAGTAACATTTTTTAGCAAAAATATTCACCTGAAATTATTGTTCGACCTTTGGAGCATTTTGCACGGTCACATTTATATGATCAATTAAGAAATGATTTTCATCTTTCTGACACTTCCCAGACAGCAAGGGTATAATGGTTCCGTACTGGTCCAGTATAGGCTGCCGCGCTGAACCGGCTTCGGCTGTCGACGCACAGTGAGTCAAAATCCATAAAAAACGGCAAAAAAAAACCCATAAAAAACTTTTGCTAGAAAATAAATAATTAGTTTATAATGTCACTAAATACCACTAAAAAACAATAAATATTTTTTTTGAATACTTTTTAAGATTTCACCAATTTATACGTCTTTTTCCGAGACTTATTTTATTTTATTTATCGGAAAACTCGTTCAAAAAAGTCTCGCTTTAGTGTCACTCTTTTAAGATTGATATAGGTAAAAACAGTTCAAAATTTAATTTGAAGTCATATGTTTAAGATGTTTGGTAACTACTAATAACATTTTTAACAATAAATTTTAATTTTAGATTTTTATTACTGAGATCTCAATAATATGTCATAAATTGATTTTTTTAAATTAGTTTAATTATGAGTTTAGTTCAAAAACTAAAAGATTCCACTAGATTCCATGGTAGTTTTAATATTTTCCTGTTAATAGATATATATGAAAGCAGAAAAAATAAAAATTATTTGCCCCAACTTGCCCCAAATAAAATAAGACCTTTTAAATACTTCGTTTTTTTTTTGTATTTTTTTTTTCCGTTTTTAATTATAATTTGCGCATAAAGTAGCGAACAATAGTTCATTGTTTACATTCATCACACAAATAATACATTTAGTTCCTATTACTAAAAAAACTCATGCTCAAGCAGATGGTGCTAATTATTAAACCTCAAAACCAAAATATGCAATATTTGATGTTATAGTGCATATTTTAAAATTCAAACTTGCGTGTAAAATAACTAACAATACTTCATTGCTTACATTAAACATGAAAAGAATACATTTAGTCCCTATAATTCAAGAGTTAGGAATTAATCATGATAATTTACTCGAAGCTCTTATACGTGAGTTTTGTAGACTGGAGGGTCTGTACTATGAAGGTATTGACAAACTTAAAATGTTAAATCTAAAGAAAACTCTAATAATGTTTAAATGTAAATTCCGATCAAAATTGCAGAAATATTCAAAAACCTTCTCTAGACTTTTGGAACATGAGCAAACTTAGTTGAGCAAAGATGTAACTGACAAAAAAAACTTTGCAGCAGTTCCAGGCAGAAAGAGCAAGAACTGGGAAGATTTACCCAGCAAATATCAAGCAGGCGGACCGACAATGGACCGTTGTCAGCCCTTATGCCGTGCCGACGTCGACCGCCCGCTGCGTTGCCGCGTTGGCTTGCACATCGTATTTACATCGGTCCGTTAGCGGTAAACTGAAGGCGGTTCGACAGCGGACCGATGAAGGCAAATCGACAACGTTTGAGCAACGGTCCGTCAGCGGCTAACCGATGATAAAGCCATAGCGGAATAGCATAGGATCTATACAAAGTTTTGACTAAGATTTGAATGCATTGATATACATATAACTATTTTTGTATTTTTGTTGGAATAAAACGCACTTATCGTTAGCAAAAATCTTTATGTCTTTCAGCTCAAAGTTTTACTCATGAAAAAAAGCAAATCCTGCGAATGCCTGGGAGAAACATCAAATACCTTTTGACTTTGTGCATAGGTATATAGACAAAATACGAATTTATTATACTAAAATCCTCCTACCACCGAAAAACACTACCCCAACTGTAAATCATTAGGTCATATGTGGCAAGGCTTAAGCTCGGTGAACAAAAAGACTAATCAGAAGTTATAATGAAAATCATTTTAAAATTGCAATTTACAATTACAACATGAATATAAAAGTAACAATAATTTTTTTTTAAACTAAAACAAATTATAAATTATATTTGCATCTATAGATTATTGCTTCACTTGCGATTAGCGAACGTTTAAAATATAAAATAGTTAATTTTCAACATATCTATAAGTTCAGTTTATTCTCATTTCAATCAAAAACTAAATATATTCAGGAAACCATGTGATGAAAATTGATTTACGTTGCAGTCTGCAGACTTCTAACTTTCACCTAAAAGCAGGCAATGATATATAATGAAAATATTGAAACAGTCAAGTTCAAAGCTATTACAACAAAGATAATAAACTAACCTTCTCAGCCCTTAAAAACGTGTTCGTTTAATAGTCTGATCACCAGTTATTGACAAATAACTTCAGATACTAAGTGCATCTACATTGAATAAATATAAATTTAATTTTATTATTTAAGCATAATTTAAAACATAAAAACAACAAAAACATTGCTTAAATTGAAAAGCTATGGAAATAACTTTTAAAAAAAGCTATATAAAAATAAAGTCACATTGCGTGCCTTTTTTAAAAAGTAAAATTTCATATACAGTAACCTACCTGGTATACCTAATCCTATAAATATGCTTGAGGGGTTTATAAACAATAAAAAAATTGTTATTTCATTAAAAAAATTATCTTTAATTTTAATTTAACAAATAAAATAATATTTAAAAATGAGATACTTATATGCCAGGTTAGAAGTAAAACCGTAAAACCCACAGCAACTTAAGGGCAATGATGAACCTTTTGCAAACCATAAGCCTAAGACACAAGTGCACATCTGAAAAAGAAAGAATCAGAGACAGAACACATCAATAAAAATATATTTTGATAAACTAAAATATAGTTTGCACATTAAACATAGTTTTCACCATACAAAAAAAAACAATAGCGCAGTATAATATACTATAAAAATTCTTTGAAAAATATAAAAGTTAGTCAAATAATTGATTGAAATAAAACGGTTTAGTAAATTAGTATATAATTTTTTTAAATAAATTATTTGTAAGCATATAAAGAGCAAATAAATATGTTTAAAGAAAATATGATTTAAATCTAGTTTGCAAGTCAAATATCTATCTTATACCCATGGCAATACTTGGATCATGGTCTACATAATTCTATGAAATATAACTCTGGTTAAGGTAAACGGTTTCCTGTAAAGAAATAATATTAAATCATAAATGTAACGTTAAATTACAAGCATGTTTGAACGGAATTGTTAAAGCAATCCTTTAAAATAATGGCTTGTAAAATAAAAATTTTGTTAGATTTTTATTCATCTGCTACACCGGTTAAATATCAAGTTAATTTAGCTTTCCATCAATAACTTTATATTTTAAAGCTTATAGTTATATTTAAATTTAATATAATCAAACAAATCAAACAGTAGACAGACTCCAGAACTTATATTTTGGATTTTTTTCAAAAATAACATTAAAACAAATATTATAAAAATAATAAAATTAATTTTTTTATTCTCTGGTAAGATTCAATATCAAGATTTAAATTCTCATCTACAATCTCATATACAAGAGGTTACTGTAAAAGGGAATGAATATGAAAAACATGGAAACAGTAATACTCATTGCACAAAAACTTTACTCTATTGAGTTTAAAAATTAAAATATTTAAAAATATATTAAATATTGTAAAATAAAGATAACAAATTTGTAAATAAAGATGCATATTTTATTAAACAATGTTATTCATCTTCTGAACTAAAAAATGCCTCTCTATTTAATGGCATTGGAAAACTTGATGTAGGTATCACTTTTTTCTTGGCCTGTTTGTTTTTTTGGTCTTGTCTAACACTGTCTGTCTGACCGATTATAAATAGGGTTTTATTTTGTTGAATATTGTTTATCCACATTTTTTATTAAACTAAATATTGGCCAAAATTGTCCATAGCTGCTTTTAAACAATGGTAAATCATCAATGTTGACTTGAATTGATATACAATCCTTTTTCTTTAAAAAACTTGAAATATTACTTTAAATACCTTGTCTAATGCCAAAATGACAATACAGTCTTCCAGTTATACTAATAACAGGTACAAAAAACTTTAACGTAGAGTGCATGGGTTCTTTGGCAATTCAGGAAACAATTTACCGAAAATTTTTAACAAAGATGCTAATGCTTCATCGGTTATAGCAAACTTAACTGCCCACTGCATCAAATCATTTTTTAGTTCTTCATTGTTAACATCATCAATTGTTTCAGAATCTGATTACTCTAATGGGTAAGATTCAGAATCAGAAATTGTTAGATTACTGTCAGAGTTTACTTCACAATCAATATTACTTGCACCTGAAAAAATAGCAGTTGAAAGTTTTCGATCTGTTATACTCTTTAAATACAATGATTATACTTCTTCTGGTGAATGTGAAATATTGCGCAGAATTGATCAGATCTAAACCAATTAATGTAAAAGCTTTATCTTTAGGTCTTTCTACTCTGCGTTGCTGGCTCAGATCTTTTGAGTATATTTTACATTTAAGATAGAAATTAGACATTAAAAATTACTCGCCAAATCCCCTGCTGAAAAAGCATCAGTAAAAAGTAGAAAAAAGAACATTCAACTGAGGTTTAGAGAGAAGCTAAGTCTTATAGTTGATATGCCTAAACAGGGTTTTAGCAGCACTAACGATGGAAACACTGCCAGAAGGGCATTTGAAAATGCTGAAACTTTTGGTGATATAATAGGAGTGGCAGTAGATGTAATGGAAGACAATCCTAATATCAGTATGCTCATGTTATGAGTTAAACTCAGAAAGTTTTGTCCAGTATTGCTATGAAACTACAGCTCTCATATTCAAAAACTATTGCTGGTATATGATTCCCCCAACTGTTCATAAACTCTTGGAACATGGTGTGCAGATATCTGAGGCATTTGAACTGCCAATTGGTTACTACTCTGAAGAGTCACAAGAGGCTCTAAATAAGGAAATTCGCAAAGCTAGATTAAACCATACAGCCAAGATATCAAGAAAGAATTTTATGAAAAACCAGTACCAATACCTCTTGATTAGAAGTGATCCTGTAATATCAAACATTTGTTTCAAAAAATACAAGGTTGAAAATGGAAAAATACTTACCCCTGAAGTTTCATCTTTGTTAATGCTGTAATAATGAAATAAAGCTTTTTTATAACTTTAGGTTTTCTTTTTTTGTCTTCTTGAAAAGAAAATTAGATAATTATTAAAAGGAAAATTAGATAATTAGAAAAATATTTATTTTGTATTTAATATACTTCAATACTATTATAATATTAAAAGATTTTTTGAATCCAATTTTTCTTTTTAATTTTAATAAGTATAGGTTTTGGTTTGAAGAATTTAATTTTTTTAAATTAAGTCTTTGTGCGCGTTAAAGACTATAACACGTATACGCGTGTATACGTGTTAGAGTCTTATGCGCGTGTATGACCCTTAGGCACAAAAAAAACTTACATTAAAAAATATGAGGTATTTTTTTATATGGTATTTTGGATCAAGGAATGCGATTTTTTTATTTAAATCATATTTTTCGTGCGTAAATGACACTAACACGCGTAAGCTTGCGTTGTACGCGTCATAGGTACGCGTAAAAAATATTTTCAATAACAAATTTAATTTTTTTAACCCAAAATACGATAGTATTAATATATCACACGTTTATATATGATAGTTATATAATTTTTGCCGTTTTTTCACCTTTCTGACTCACTGTGCGTCGCAGGCGAAGCTCTGTTAGTTCACCTTTCTGACTCACTGTGCGACGCCGGCGAAGCTCTGTTTTGCTCTAAGGATTTTTAATGGGTCAGGCGTGGCCAGCCGTGGCTAGCCGTGGCTAGCAAACGATAGCAAACGATGGCTAGCAAGCGATAGCATTCATTTTAACTGTAATAAAATAAAAACAAACATAAGCACGACTTAATAATTAATTACATATATACTTATACAATATAGTAACAACATATATACAAAATGGTCACAACTTTAAACAACATGGTTATCATGTTACAATAACAATTATTTTTATTTTTGACGGATAAGTTCAATCCATTAACAACAAACCATAGTAACATAGACTTGAGTTAAGGACCTTTTTATAACTTTGTGAACTAAAATGCAACGATTATTACAATGAAAAGTTACAATTAAAACCAAATGCAGGATACTTACAAATATATTTATTAAAACATGTGGTACTTGAATTATTATGGACCAAAACTCCATTAAAAATTTAATGTTTTAAGATTGGAAATTTCATGATATTTAATTTAATTCACAGCTGTTTCTAAATAAAATCGATAACACGCTGCGACAAATTAATTTATCATTTTATTATAAATAGATGACTTTAAAATGTTGTCAAAGTATGATTACAATTTAAAGCATCTTAAACACTTTTTTTATTTAAAATCTGTTTAGCCAGTTTTTGATGGCAAGATCTTATGACCTTCTGCATGTATCTGCGTTCTTATTCTAAAGTTGAAAAAATTTGTAATTCTTCTTGTATGTATTTTATTCATTCTTTTATTGTAAAAGTTATTTTGAATAAAAAAAAAATAAGAACTAAAAATTAAAGTGCCTCTCAATCTTTATAAATATTTGTATACACAGAAACTATTTTATAAAACACAGTATTAGTAAAATAAGGGAAAACTTTTCCTTCACTTAAACACTAAAAACAGAAATTTTAATAACTTATTTGATTAAGTGTAAACTTACCAGATTTAAATAAACAATTTAACTTGAGATTTAGCATTTTTCTTTCAACATTACCTGTATTGCCATTACTTCTTACCTTTATTGTGGCACATTAATCATCACAAACAAACTCTAAAAACAAAACATCAAAACTATGAAACCTAATAATTAAAATTATTTATTTTAAAGTTTTTTAATATAAAATAACAAAATAAGGAAAGGCGTTAAACCTATGGAATGGAGTTTTATTATCACAGTTGCAGAAGGTTTGGAGCATGCATACTAAAACGAAATATTAAAAAATATATGCTACATATTAAAACAAAAATCAGCTCAATAGAATCATTTTTGGCAATTCTTTATAACATTTAATGAAGGCGTTTTAAAAATGAAATTATAGAAAGAAAAAAATGATTTTGGAAGTTTGATATTAGGGCAAATCAAACACTTCATGAAGTATTTAGATAAAATAAATATAACATTCATAGTACATCATTATTTAGGCCTCACATTGAATATTGAGCCCCATTAAAGAGTTTACATCGAAACATGTTATTATGATTGAACAACTCCAACGTAGAGCAATTCGTGTTTATAGTTTAAAAGATTTATCATGTAAAAACTCACTGACACTATTTCTCTCCACATTAAAAATAAAAAGATCAAGAGGAAATGTGATTTAACTATACAGAACTATGAATCACTTGGATGTAATAAATCGACATAATGCTCCAATAATTATAAAAAACTCTATTACAAAAGACTACAATAAATGATATATAAACAACAATCCAAAAAATCAAACGGTCATCATTATTTTTTTATAAATAGAATAGCTGACAAATAAAACCATTTATAACTAGAAGTTGTGAAAGTGAAAAACTTTATTATATTTTTAACACTCTACGATAAATATATACAAAACTGTGAAAGTCTGGCATCTACTTTTGTTAGACTATACACAAACAATGTGTATCACAACTTTGTTAGTTGATTTATTTATTGTATTTATAAGTAAACAAATTAGCAAATTTATAGTCAACAACAAATTTATATCAAATCTAGATATATAGACTTGGTAACTTTTCCTATTTAGTGCTTCATATGTTAGTAATACTTAGGTATCCATTTTTTGACTTCAAAAACTTTGTATAACACAATAACATTCTTATACTATATTTATATAAAAAAAGTTAACTTTATATTATTTCTATTAAACTATAAGAATATAAAAGATAAATGTGTTAATAACAATCAAATTATATTACATAAAAGTTATGAATATGACAACAAAAAGATAATAAAATAAAGCAAAATTGTTCAAGTAATCTACACAATAATATATATACATTTTA